TTTTGAAAGATTCAAAGTTCTAACAGCTTCTTCAAATGTTACATGTCCCCTCAAAATATATGCAATGCTGTCCATAGATCATTACATTTCTTCTGTACCCTTTCCTGTGTTTGATGCTTCCTTGTTTACTGGGCGGTTTGGGGGAACCCCAGGCTACTTTTGCATCTTCCCATGTGTATCAATTTCCATTGACTTTAGAAAAACTAGTTAGTTGTCTGCTCCTAGCACTGAAGGAAGGAATTTGGTATAAAGCAGGAAAAAGGGACTTCCAGAAACAACTTGCTTGAGCAAAAGCGTTAGCCACCCACATATGGTGAAATTCTCCACTGAACAAGCCACGTAGCAGCCACAGCAGCTCAGAAGAGGTGGGTAAAATCAGAGGAAAGAGAGCAAGAGAAGGATGAAAAGCAATAAAAGACAGCCTAGTAATTGGTGAACCTCCAAAGCCTTGCAGGTCTGCTCTGGAGGCTTCTCAGAACATATCCATCCTTTTTAGTTTGGAAGCCTCCCAAGAAGAGGCCTTTTTTTGTGAGATTTCTAGCACTCGTTGGTTTCAGCTGGGTGAGTATTGTTGTGAGAATAGCCTTTCTTGAGATTGGATTGTAGCTGCAACAGAAGGTGTGCAGCCTTTCCAAAAATGAAAATTAAGCTACATTTTACAACCTTCTTTCTTCTCTCCCCCAAAGGGAAATGGGGCTGAGTGTGGGGCAAAGATTTGGTTCTTTACATATACAGAACCAGTCCACCTGGCCCTTGTCACCATACAGTTTTGCTCTTTGTGAACCCAAAAATTGGAGCTAGCTAGCAGAAAAGTGCCTTGTGGTCAGATGCTTGAAGCGGCAGGACTGGGGCCGTGTATAGCAGAGCTATGTTGTCTGATGAATCAATTCTGGATTGGGAAACTGGTGTTTTCTGCTCCAGGAAGATCTATATGGCCTTTATTTTCAATGCCAAGCAATGATTGATTCCCTGTTAACAATTTTTTTAGGCTGGGGTGAAAAATCAGTAACTACTGGGAGGCCTGACATAGTTTTATTGTGCTATCTTTTGTGCGATGCTATTCTTTGTTATATATAATCCTTACATTATTAATCTGTAAAAGGGCTACACCTTTCAGATGTCCTGTGTTAGCAGGAATCCGGATAAATGAGGCATGGATTTTATTATACCTCAGTATTTGTCTTTAGGGAGAAAGGGTGCGCTGCATCATTTGTGGTTTCCACCTTCCATTATTAAAGCAAAAACTGCCTTTGCTGGGGCTTCTGTTAGCAGGAGCTGAAAATGTGAGACACAATGTGTTCTGTTTGCTATTAGTTTGTGTGCACAAGGAGCAATACAATGAGGAAACAGTGCATGGGTTTTCTTTTTTTATTTCTGGGGGGGTGGGGTGGGGGAGGAAGAGTAGTTATATGTGTAGTAGTTTCAACACCATTTAAAGTTAAGCCACAGAGCTGGGTGGATGCTTTTCCTCTTTAGAACTGGGGAAGGTAGGACGTTGGAGGGGAAGAAGGAAATAAAATCAAAACAGCAGCGGTGAATTGGCAGTTGTCAGCAACCCTGATGAATAAGGCCCCTCTACCCCACCCACACCCCCCCCAAAAAAGGCATGGTACAAATCTGCATGCTCCCTTAAAATGGAGGCTGGAAGGATCTTAAAAAGTTTTATGTGATTCAGCTGTGTGAACCACCTTGAAGACCCTTTACTATCCTGTGAAATTGTGTGTTTGCGCACGTGCATGCTTATTTTGGGGAAGGAGAGTCAGGGAAAAAGTGTGCAACACATGAAAAATATAGAGCACTCTATCTCCTAGAGAAAGAGGTCTTACCAAAGCGACAGCTTTAATAAAACATATCTTCCTCTGGCTGTGCTGTATCCAGTGCAAATGAAAGAGAAGAGTAGTTAAGAGGAGGACAAGCACCAAATGCACAAGCAAGACTAAAAGTGTCTTCAGTCTGTAGGCTTCAGGCTGAGAATGTCTGCCTGCATCATCCAGTGATGAAAATAAAATCTGGTAAGGAGCAAAAGACTCCAGGGGTACACAAATCATTTTGCTCTGTAACCCCGTGACTGTCCTCCCCCGTTCCTAAGACTTTGCTTCAGGTGAGTAGGGAGAGGAAGAAAGGAAATCCCTTAGCTTCATGCTCCTAAACCAAACACTCGCACACATGAATTCCTGAATGGCTTGAGCCATCCATGTAAAGGGCTCTTAACTGGCTGAATTGCTCTCAGGGGAGGAATTCCGTCTTTTTTTTTTTTTAAATTCCTTCTGAAACATATGCAAATTAATTGCTTGAAACAGCAGAAAATGTGGGAGGGCAATTGCTTTAGCATATGCTTTGGTTTGCTAGATTTTTGCACTCATTAGTGGCTTGCTCAAATCCATAGGTTTTTTGTGTCCATTTTCTTTAAAGGGTGAGTAATGGAATTGAATGATGTATTCAAATTCTGTCTCATGTCTGCCTTCCCCAACTTCCTCACTGACTTTAGAGTAATTCCTTGAATAAACTGTAGTGGAGGCGTTTCAGAAATGGCCCTTAAGCCAAAAACAGTACTGATCTGGAGACAAAGCTCTCTATAAATTCATGCAAACTTAATGTAAACACTAGGTATGAAGGTTTATGTCTATAAACTGTGGCTGTGGTGCTGAAAACCCTGTTCTGTAAATGCTGACTCTTGAATGTTAAAGCTTGTTTTTCTGTGTCATTCTCCCTGTCTTAATCCACAGGTCTTATATTTGCTCTTTAACCCTGAAATTTCTTGCTTGTTTCTCTTAAATTCTGGCGTCATTTTAAACTATATTGATGAGCTCTTTAGCTGATGATTTTCTGGCGACAGTGAGAGTCCGTATCATCATTCTTTGCTGAATTCTGTGGAAAGGTGCCATCCTTATGGTTGGAGCAGGGACTTGAGCTTCAAGATTCTTGGCTCTGGTGCCGACTTGCTGCAAGTCAGTGGCTTCTTTTTGTCAGTTTCCCTATCTGTAAAGTGGGGTAATATTATTTACCCACCTCCAGGGATCATGATGTTGCCTAAAGTTTATGAAGCGCTTTGAGGCCAAATCATAGATGTATGTAAGTTGTTGGTTTTAGGAGAAGTGACTGAGCTACAATATTCAGCCCAAATTTCAAACATCCTCGTGTGTAGACGCAGGGTTTTGATTCAGATGCATTCCTATTTTCTGTCTGATGGTGGTGGATGTTGTTTGACAATATATGGAAGAAGGTCTTACTCATGGATAATAAATTCAGAGCTGGCTCTAAACTATTTTATACACTGCTGCCATTGCAGCATTACTGTGTAGCAGTAAATAACTAGCCAAAGTCAAGGAGTAAATTCTGCCCTCAGCTGCACCCATGCAGCAAAGGTGATACAAGTGTAATTCAAGGAAGAATTTGGTCCATCATCTTGGATCATTTTGATAGAAGGTATGCCGTGACCATACACACCAAGACTGAAGAGGCAGGCTCAAGTCAGAATTTCCTTGCTTATTTTGTGGGTTGATGTCTCAACCTCAGCATTGTTTCATGTTGTCTTCCCTCTCTATTTTTCATAGCATTCAATATGATCACTCCAGATTGTGACTTTGTGTTCCTTAGAAATAATAGTGGTAGAGATGACTCTTTCTTCTTTCTTATTACACCTCTACCCCGATATAACACGAATCCAGATATAGCGCTGTAAAGCAGCACTCTAGGAGGCGGGGCTGTGCACTCCGGCGGATCAAAGCAAGTTCGATATAACGCAGTTTCACCTATAACACAGTAAGATTTTTTGGCTCCCAAGGACAGCGTTATATCGGGGTAGAGGTGTATATCTGCTGCGGATCTTCCTGCATTTTTACTGTCTCTTTCTAAATCGCTGTCTAAAATATGTAGCAGCGCAATACACGTCATAGCACACTTATCATGCAAACCTCCCAGGGCACCTTAGAGTAAAATCAAAAAGAAAATCAACTTAGTTCAGCCCTGAGTTGAATTAATTATTTTTTAAAGCAGTGTTGGGGTTGGTTTATATATATATATTTAGCTTCTCCAGCTTTTTTCTCTCTGTATCACATTTTTATTCAGTTTGATGCAAACTTGGAGAAGATATTGTTAATTATCACACTGAGATTAGTAACATGTTGATAATGCCCACCTGTCCAAAAATTAGCTTGTCATTCTCTATGGACCCTTTATTGACCAGATAATAATCAGCTAGTGATAAACGATAAATTTGTTTATGCTGAAGTAGACGTACTTTGATAGCTGGAAAAAAGTCATCAAATTAGCTAATAAAAGCTTTATTTACCATGAAGGGTTTTTTAAATGTCTGTCATTATCATCCTGGTTGCAACACAGTGACCCCGATTATCATGAAGCTGTTTACAAGGTTTAGGTTAATTGGATTTCTTAACTACTTCCCAGAGCTGTGAGGAGCACAAGTACAGTATGATGAAGTTCAAATAGTATAACGCAGCCCCGTTTACGAAGCGACAGGCTTCCTATAGAAAGAAGTTGCTTTGTTTCATAACCAGCTCCATGCATAGCAGCTGTGTCTGTGATTTGGTATGATATATGTAACACCTCTATTTGTGCAGATGAATATAGCCGTAGCTTGCACTGTCACTACACAACTACGATTTGTGTATTCAGTAAGAGAAGAGGTTTATTTTCAACAAGAGAGACTTTGAAATGTTGTTACTTCAGCTTAATAGCCAATTCATTTGTATTTTCATATGAAGAATCATGAATAAAATAGCTTGTGTGTTGTATGGGTGCCTGAATAAAAGAGACAGGAGGATGTACTTGAGTGAGAACAGGACAGTGCTTTTATGTGCTTTTCTTTCCTCTGCTCAAGACTCCTGCTTATTCTTAAATAGCACAACATTGCACCCTCCAGGTGCAGTGTGTAACTGCAGTTATGATGATTGATTCGTTCTGTAAGGACTGTGTATTTTTGGTAGAGACTCCGATATTCTCTTTTAGAATCAGTAACCCTCTTTCTGTTTTGTTTTCAGGCTTCTTTAGGCTCCGAGAAGCTGTTTTCCCCTGCAGCAAATAAAGGTAGGTGCTTTGGAAAAACACTTTCCTTTTCTTATCTTACCGTTAGAAGAAACTCCTTCAGTGTATGAAACTACCAAAAACCTTGTGTGTGTAACAGGAATTGAATTTAACAGGAAGCCAGTGACTGCAATCTTGCCCCGTAGTGTTGTCAAAAAGAACAACCTCACATTGTCACAGGATTGCAATGGTTATGTTAATTTTCACAGCCACCTTGTATTAGGATGAGGCTGGGTTTTTTCCCCCTTCCAGATGGTAGATTTGTAGCAAATGTCTTAACGAGAGGGCTTGTTGATGAAGCAGGAATCAACTTTAACTATAGCAGAGCTGCCACAAGCAAATCTTCATTTTTTAAAAAAAAACTAAGGAATATTTGTGTATCTATATTATTCTCTCAAGGTTTCAAATATCTTTTCACCCACCAGCGTACAGAACATTTATATCTGTAGGTCTCAATCCTCCAAAGTGAAGTTTAAGGTGCTCAGTATATTGCAGGATTCTAACCCATAGCTCCCATTAGTATTAATGAGAGTTACCTGTGATCCACACTGGGTGTTGCTAAGAGACGTGGCCTGTTCAGATTTCCTTTGGGAATTGTAGTAATACATTTTTAAATATACCACGCCCTCCCTTTACTGTCTGTCGGTCATACAAGGCTACTCTGGCTTGTTGCTCAGCTTCCTTTGGATAATCTCACTCTTGGTTGAATGCTGTGGACAAAAAATATTTAAGGAACAGCCTTGTAGAGAAGAGTGTTGTGTACAATTGAAAGCATTATGCTATGAATGGCTCTGCTCTGTCGTGCAAGAAGGCTGACATTATGGCTTTGTATACACTGCCAGTAAGTAACGCTGTTCTGCAGTGTTCCTTGTATTGAACTACAGAATAAAAACCATTTCAGAGCAATAATGACTACTAGGGAGACACAAATGCCTTGTAGGGGGAAAATGAGGCTCATTAATAAGAAATTATAGCGTGAAAAGGTTATTTCAAGAGGACCAAGAGGGGACTCGTATACCTCACTACTGTATAGGAATAGGAGCTAGCCAAGGAAAGGCTTTTTGGTTATTACTTGTTGTGTGTGTCTCAGGCTGGTTCCAGGCACCACTGGGCCGGCTTTTTTAGAGGCTGTAAGTGCTAGAAATTCTTTCCTTCCAAGTCCTGCAAACTTTAAATGGTAAATGTGAAAACTGATGGTGAGTGTGTGACATTAGTACATTTGCAGATGTTTTCACAAAATTATGCAGTTTCATCAGAAAAAAATAGCAAAGGACTGCGGGGAAGGGGGACAGACACCATTTGTCATCTCTCCACCCTATTGTGTACCTTAGGTGCCAAACCTTGGTAAGCCCAAATCCCATAGAGCTCGCTCGCTCTCAAAAACAAAACAAAACTCCAGGAGCACGAGTGAAAATGTGGCCCAGTGATCTAGTTTAGAGGATTACATTCAAGTGTCAGCAGCTTTTTGGCTCCTGCAGTTAATTGAAGTCTGATGGTTTTTTTCACCTTGATATCTCAGAGCCACTCGGCAACATGAGTTTTCAGATTGCTCTCCATCATGTGCCGATGGCAGTGAACTTGACAGCTTGGAGTCATCTACTCACTGGTGTTTACATCACTGCAGCTGAAAATTATTACCGTTTATTTTGCCATGGATCCAGATATCACCAGGCTTTGGGAAAATTTCAATCCAGATATGAATTTTGTGGCTCATCTTTAGCTTCTGCATAGATCTTGGAGTAGACACATGTCTACCATGCTGTTTGCCAAAGACTGAGACTGTGTGGGCAGACTCTGCTCAGGACTACCTTAGGATTGGCATGGCATAGCATAGCAGTTGTATTGCAAGGTCAGGCTGAGTAGCATTGGTAGATCTATATGGAGAAGCTTGAACGGCACTAAATTCTGACGCTGGTTAATTTTACAAGTCCTGCTATGTGATTACACCAGAGTTTTATCTCTCTCATATGCAAATTAAGGGCACTGTTAAATGATGAAGCCTTTGTGATCCCATATGGGCAGAGAGAAGGTGACCTTCAAGGACTGATACTTCAAACTCCATTAATAAGATACCAAAATTGACTTAAGTCCTAAGTTTTCAAAGGTGTCAGCAATTTTGCAGACAAATGATTAGTTAAACACACAGTTTCCTGATTTGCACGCATAAATGGTGTAACGAGTACACACTCCTTTTGCTGGCATTCACATTGTGCCCTTCTTTGAAAATCTGTGCTTCAGTTGGGGGGAGGGGGCATTGCAAGGGATTACAGGTCCAGCAAAAAGCAATAATTAAAAATCAAGCCAGGTCACTGAGGGGATGCATTTCAAGCATTGTTTTGCCAAAGCTTGTGCTGCTCAAATTATGGGAGAGCGCCCTCTTTTTTCAGACCACTTTATGCACTCACTGCTTATAAATTCTCAGTAAAGTTTTTATTTTAATATATTATCATTCCATTTTTTCTTCTTGACAATCATCCAGAATTCTGTAGAGGTTAATTTCTTAGTTAGCAAGTTCTATGTGGTCTGCATTGTTGGCCTTTTTTCCATGACTGTTGTTTTTTGGGGGGTGGGGTGTTAAACACAGTATGTCAGATTCATTCTTGGTGTAACACCATTGACTTTTATAGAATTACATGAAGGATGCATTTGGTGCAGTGAATTTATTAATATCATTCTAGTTTACCAACAGATTAACAATGCAATGAAGTATTAAGATGGGCAACTTTTACTTTTCCATGTCTGGAATAGTTGTAAAATGTAACTTTTTACCACGCTGCTTACCTTCTCAAAAGGTCTTAGATGCTGAATCTTTTGTTTAATGTTCCCTGTGTTACATTTGTCTTCACCTCCTTACAACAGAAGGCCATTGCTGCTGTGCCCCTCTTTTGACACAAGTTGATGTGTGACAACAGATGTACTATGCAACAGTTAGCTTCCCTGGAACATTTGCCAATATGCAGGGGAGAGGAGGTGTCTTGACCCAAAGTGACCTCAGTGGTCACAGCTGTGAAATAGACTGAATTAGAGGACTTTGAGCTTCCTGGAGAGAGAGCGAGAGAGAGATTAAACACCCTATACAAGAAAATAGTAATTGAAAATAAAAAGCATTGAGGCCCATTTGTTCTGATACCCTGTTCTTTTCATGCAGGGGGTTCTCCCAGCCAGTCAGGGATGGGCGGGGAGCTTGGAGGGACCCGAAAAACCAAAGTGCAAAGGCAAGCTAGATCAAAGCTCCATGCTAGCCAGAGGGATAGGAGAGACTGAAAAGAGGAAAAAGAGCAAGAGCTTCTGATACAAATTCAGATTTGTCTGTCAGCCTGCAGCAGGCCAGAGGAGCATTTGCCCATTAAACACCTAAAGGGACCTCAATCTGACTGGTGTATTGACATTTGGGGTGTTGAGTTTTTTAAGGCTATCCTGGTGCACTCACTGCAACTACTGATTCACTTTTAGGCAAGTCCCTTGTTCCCATTTCATTGGAGGGAAATGATTATGCCCCATGCTACGTGCAGATATCCTAAAGGCTTTTCTTCTTGGTGATCCCCAGTGGTACTAGTCCATGCAGTGCCAGCCCTGTGCCATTTCTTTCAGTGAGATAACCAGTAAGGTGCCAGAGGAACAAGGAGAGCTTTTATTACCAAAAGCCTTGAAACCGAGATCCTAATGCTGAGAAAATTTGTGGAGATCTGAGTTCTCTCTTGAACCTAGCTCCTTCCTCAGCCACTGGGAGTACTGCAGTATGAATGGGCTTCTTAAAATAGATGTTTCTTCAGTGGATTTAATGCTGGTGAAAGGTTCCAGGTTAATGGTCCTGAAGAGTGAAATCCTCTATCCGCAGAGCAAGCGGCGCATGGGCAGCTTCAGTGCAAGCTCTCCATACTAACTCCTGCCAATGTGCTTCAGTCCTGACCTGGAGCTATAACTTGTAGAAGCGAAGTGGGAATTCAGTGTCATTGTGCACTGAATCCTTGGCACCTCTTCCAAAGCTTCCAGCAAGGTTGCCAGATGTGGTTTTGTAAGATGACCACCTATCCATGAGGAACCAGACTGAGCGCAGCACCACAACTTTGGACAGGGCCCGGAACAGCCATCAGGGATGGTTAGGAAGTCAATATAGCTCAGTGGTTTGAGCATTGGCCTACTAAACCCAGGTTTGTGAGTTCAATCCTTGAGGGGGCCACTTAGGGATTTGGGGCACAAATCAGTACTTGGTCCTGCTAGTGAAGGCAGGGGGCTGGACTCGATGACCTTTCAAGGTCCCTTCCAGTTCTAGGAGATAGGATATCTCCATTAATTTATAATTTATTTATAATTTATATGAGCTGTAGGTGCTCAACATCTGCTGGGCTCAGGCCCAAACTTTGAATTAGGCGGGCAATGTTGTCTGACTCATAGAGTACCTGACTGGGAAGCCACATTCCTAAGATCTTTGTCCAGCTGTGCTACTTGCTGGGTGATCACTTAACATCTGTGCCTCAGTTTCCACATCTACAAAATGAGGGATAATACTTGCCACACCAGCATGTTGGTAGACTTAATTAATTAATGTTCATAAAGTGCTTTGAGATTTTGTTGAGAGGTTTTATGGAGAGTATAGTATATAAAGCATTGTTCTCACTGTAATAATAAGTAAAAATCGCTTTGGTTTTGTTTTTGTTTTTCTTTTATCCATTTTTTTCCTTGAGTTAAAAAAATGCTTACCATACGCTCTAACTTTTCATTGAACATATAGGCATAGAACTCTGAAGTGCTCTCTTTCATCGTGAACTGTACGTGTCCCCAAAGCTCTAAAGCATACAGTCTGTGCCTTAACCCTTTGACAAGAGGGTTGCTTGGCACGCAGGCCATAATTGTCAGCCCTGGGATGCACCATGACCACCCGCTCCCGTGGATTAATGCAATTTATAATTCTTTGAAGTTTCCTTCTTTTATATTTTGTCCTCTTGACCACAGAAGTGTGCCATGGGCCAGCAAGAGAGATTTCTTGTTAAAAGACAACTCAG